TTAATAAAAATGTTGGTTTTTTAACAACTTGAAACCATGTAAAAAATATTTTGAAAAAGTAAATACTTTTCGAGATAATTAGTGTACCCACTTAAAAGAATCACTCTGTATGGTATCACTTAAAATATAATCCACAAAGATAATATGTTATTAGTGCGTATTTGTAAATAATTTAGTATTAACTTGCATTTTTATTAATCATTCTACTCTAACGATAATGAAATAAAGGTAGAACTAATCATACTTCAGTTAGATTAGACAAAATTATAACTCACACTTAAATCTACATACAAATGTTAAAAATACTAGATAAATATCAAGTTATCGATAAATATTTATTGATGGAATATTTAGTAACATAGAAACCGTATTATCATGATAATATTTAAATGTTTAACTTAAGGCCAATAAATACAGATCAATTTTAACTTATTTTCCTTATAAAACAGTAACATAAYTTATAAATTGATGATTTTAATATTAATATCAACAATTTAAACTCCGACCGATTTCTTAAAAAAAATAAATGTTAAGTTAACTTTAATTGTTGCACACTATTTTAAATTATGTAATTATAATTTATAATTACATAGATGTAACTAATTGTGGTAATGTTTGATTTAACAAATAGTGAATACTATGGAATATCTAATAACTTACTGCTAAACGTAAGAGAACATATCTAACTGAACTCCATTTGTCATTACGTCTATCAATAACAACAACAAAACCTAAATCAGCTTCCTGCAATCTAAAAACAAAATGATACATTAGTAACATCTTACTTATAAAATCTGAAAAAATTAATACATACGACGGAACTGAAGTAATATAAGATATTAATTTTTCGTAGTCCTTGTCGGGTAAATCAACAAAATTTCCAGTATCAGGAAATGATATAATAGAATAACCTTCTCTAGTTTTACCACCTAGAAAAAAAAGCTTTACAATAATAAATATATTACAATTATTTTAAATTCTAAATATATATCTAATAATATGAATCATTTGTATTATCATTTTAATGTTAAGTGAAGAATAAAATTAATATAAAATTGTGAATAAATAAGTAATAATATGATAGGTTCAATCAGTGGCGGCTTGAACTTTTTTTCCCTCGAATCACGTTWAATATTTTTACACCACCCACCCTAAAATATAGTTATTAGTTATTACTTATTATTGTACATTATCTGCYGAGTACACAAGTTATATTTATTATTTATAATTTAATATTTAAATACCAACCTGCAAAAATGGTCCAATCTACCTTTTCCAACYATAAGACCTACCCACCCAACCACCCATTAATATTTTTGTGAATCACGTGATTCAAATATACTCCCTTCGAGCCGCCACTGGGTTCAATTATTATAACTACATTATAAACAGGTATTTAAATATTAAATTATTTTTTAGGTAGCTTTTAATTAATAAAATTAGCATAATAATTATGAAAAATGCATTACCCAACACAAATTGAGATAAATAATAATGGACAATTTATATATATATATTTTTTTTAATTAATTAAAATCAAAACATTATTCAATTAMATTTTTCTAAAATATCCTAATTTTCAAGTTTTTTCGAAGCTATATATTCTTTTTGAAAACATTTCATAATCCTGAGCATAATGGTTTAAAATTCATTCCAAGGGTAAAATTAAATGCCTGCATTTATGCAGATGACAAACAAAACAAATTAAAATAAATACAATAGGTACCTACCAAGAAATTAAATTWAATAATTTTATATAATTCATATTAATTTTATTCTAACACGGACAATAATATTAAAAAAAGATTTTTCTAACAACCACTTTTTAATAAAATGTATTGGTAGATATTTAAAAAATAATTAATGAAAATATATGTATTAAGTATTATGATATCATATTTATTTTTTCGCTCAAATTGGATGATAGGTAAGTTAGATGTTAATTTAAAAATTGTTTTATTTTTATTTTTGACATTATTTTATTTATATATTTATTACCTGTACACATGAGAGATTAAGATAAAAACAACATTTGGTAGGTACAAGGCTTTCTCAATATACCTGTGGGTTACATCAGTGGTGCAACCAAGGGGGGTGTTCAGTGCCGTAACTAGGCATTGGCAAGGTGGGCGGTGGCCAAGGGCGCAGTTTAAAATGATCGCGCTAGGGGCGCAATTTTTATTTCATATAAATACTAAAAATTCCTTATTAATTTATAAAATTGGTTACCAAGGGCGCATATAAAGCTAGTTACGGCATTGGGGGTGTTTTGGGTGTCTGGACACCCCCCTTGAACCATATAATAGGAAATTTATATTTAATTATATTCAATAACCATTGAAAAGAAATTTTCAGTCTTTTTTTAAATCTACATCTAGTGTTATAATTTATAACTGATAAATGTTACTAAGTCTTTTGTCCATAGTTTATCGATAATTACTAAAATTATATGTAACTTTAATCTAAACATACATGTCACGTACTCACGTGATATTAATTGTTTAGTTAATAAAACGTTGGACGTCAGTAGTGTATTAAGAAATAATTATGGTGGTGGTTTGATTCAAATTGTTTGAATAAAATAATATAATAGGAAAATATTTAATAGTAGTCGTGACAACTGTCACTTGTAGTATACTAACAAATTTGGAAATTAATTGGGGAAATACTGTATACGCTACAGGCGGACACCCCCTTGAAAAAATCCTAGTTGCGCCACTCGGTTCCATATCATTTAATATAGATTACCTACCAACCAATACTATAAAAATATATCATATAATTTAATTTGGTTGGTAAAATATTGTCATGTACCTACAGCAATGCTGATTGATATTACATTAACATTTTTGAACACTAAAAATAGTACACGCATTAGATACATAAATTAGTGAGTAATTTTGTATATTTTGTTGCTGTAATATACACATAGATATTATATAATATGTATACTTACCAGAAATCACGATAAACTGTTGAGCCAACAGATCCAAAACATTGTTAATCGAAGGTTTTTGTTCATGCATCGACGACATTCTTCCTGCAAAATGGATTAATAATTAGTGAATAGTTTTCAAATTTGTTACAGAAGGATTTTAGGATCATATTTTGGATTGCAATAATAAAAGAAAACTATAATGTGCAACAACATTTTAATTATTATTGTACACACGGTGATCAGTGATATCACCATTATATTACATTTTAATTAATATTCTGTGAAC